TTTCACTTGTCGTTTAATCGTTTTATTAAAGTTGCTGTTAAATGAATCTAAGGGATTTTTTAAGTATGGAATAAGTATCTGTATCAACTAGGAGATTATTCATTTTTTCATGGTAATCAGCTTCTTTCAAAATTACTACTGCATTTATTTTGTCTGCTTCAGTGATATGCAGATTTTTATTATTAAGATTTTTCATAAAAATTAAAAAAATCTTTGAGGGTAACTGGGAATAATTTGTCTCATCACAGAACTGTACACCATCCCATTACTCATATTAATTTCGTTACTGGATAATCAGTGTTGACGGCTATGTCTACAAGATTTCTTGTAAAAAAAAAAGTATAATAAGGTTTATTAGGGTCAAATTGAGAAAAGCCTTGAACCAAGATTACTACAACACAAATATAGCATTAAACCTTGACAATTGTCTAATGCTCTGTTTATACATGCGAGAGATTTTAACCGTCCTATTGATTTTAAAAAAAACCGAGAAAGTTGCATCAAGGAGGTCTATGATTGAGAAAAAATAACTGAATCAAGTTCTGAGGCACACACACCATGGTATGTCCTCGGATCACGGTACAACACCTAGCTCTGCTGGGTGAGTGATTGGAAGTAAATGGTATAAAATACCGACACAATGGAAATATAAACACACATGCAGTATATTGTGGTCCTTTATTGACAACGTTTCGCCCACACAGTGGGCTTTATCAAGTCACAAACAGATCTACCTGGGTGAAACATACGCGAGTATTTATAGGATGAGAATGATGGGTCAGGTGGAGAAAGCTGCATGTGACAATCTTCCGAGTAGAGAGATAGAGTCTAAAAAACTTGGGTAGCTTTTAAAAGAGATTGGATAAGTATATGAGTGTTAATCTTCAGTGTTATCATGAACACTGAAGATTACAGGAACAAAATGCTCAATCTACTCAATGACCCAGATACCTACAAACCTCTCACAACTAACCAAGTGGACAACCTTACCTTACAGGACTCGCTGCATTCTGAGGGACTCCGAACCATACCCAGCAACCCCAGACCTGCCAGAATGTACGGCCTGCCAAACACTCACATTGACGCCCAAATCTGTCTATCTATCTATCTATATATACAATATATATATATATATATATATATATATATATATATATATATATATATATATATATATATATATATATATATATATATATTCATATGTGCAAGAAAACTGAAAATGAGCGATCCGATCAAACAAATGAAATTCGAGCCACCAGAAGATAAAAAAAAGCTCTAGGCTTTTGGCAAGGTTTCCACTGCTTAGTCAGGAGCTACGCATTGTTGCAATATGTAGATGACGTAGGAGATTATATGGCTGAGGCCATATCTTGGCTCTGAAAGCAGGATATGATGCTGACTACACTGCCAACTTACCCCTAAGAATTTTTCGCTATTACATATTGCACCATTGCATAGCACCTGATGAAACACAGGCAACAGTGCGAAAGGCCTAGTTTTCCCCAGCCCCTAGTAGCTTATTTGAATTTAAAACAAATATCAACAGCATAAAGGAAATTGACAAAATATTGAAAACTCACATTTTTATGATGTTTATAAATTTCCTGAGTTTAGGGAACCCATAAATACTGCACGACGTATACTATACATGTATACCAAGAGAAAGGCTTTTTTTTGCACGTAAAAAGATCATGCTTTTAATAATTTAGAAGAAACTGTGTACCTAAATCCATGTTTCACGAGAAAGTGACTGCGTGAGCACGCAGAAGTTTGGAGGAAATAAGTGAGCAGCCTCTGCTCGTGAGAGTTGCGGCATGATCACGTGATGCTTATATCTTCCCTCCGTGCCCATGGCTAGGCTATTGCTTTAAGGGTGAGACCAGTTTCAGTCCTAGGTGTAAACAACCGTTTATGTTAAAAGTTGCTATCTGGATACATCCCCTACCTTACTCTCTCCTGTGTTTATCAAATGAGTTTTGATATTTTTATCACCTTGTGTTGTCTCTGAAGATTAACCACGGAGCAGAGGGATTTCAGAAGCGCCATGAAGTATAAAACTATCCCTGTTTCATACAAAAAAGAGGCATTAGATGTGATTAAAGGTGACCCACGTGATGGAGACGGCATTGATGCACAGAATGCATGAGCACTTCAGAGCAACTATCAGCTACTGGAACTCTGCATTGTCATCAATGCAAGAATTAGACACATCCACATCAATACAAACACAGCCATTCATCTTGACCCAGAAGAGCCACAACAGTCTTCACATATTCCAAATCTACAAGCAATGACAACTACAAGGTAAGGTATGAAAACTTTATCATTTTTAAATAATTACAAAAAAAAAAAAAGAACATTTCAGGCTGTTTTTTACTCGGTGTCAGGACGTAACCTTGTTTTTTCCCTATGTTCTTCAGTTCACATTTCGCAGTTTCAAGTAGCGCACCGATGTGAGAGTCTTTTTAAACTATCTCAGGTTAATACAGCAGGGAAATGAGTAGCCTATTCTCGCAACACGAAAGATAATCATAAAAATCTGCACCTTTCCTGGATATTTTCGGATTCCTCATATCGCGACTATATTTTAAATTTGCTTATTTCTAGTAGGGGTTAAAATTAAATATACGTCATTTAGAGGTATTTGAGACCTAACCTTCTCTCACTTAACTTAACCTAGTCCAACTTAGCCTCACCTGACATTATCTACCCCAACCTAATCTAACCTACCCCAAACTAACCTAGCTCAACCTAATCTAATCTAACGTATCTGATAGTGAATAAAACAGTATTTGCAGCAAAATAATGAAAGGTTTGAATAAGGGCTGATAAAATGGAATAGAAATAAAAAAGGGAAAATATTGAAAATAGGTTTGCAGAACCATAGCAACAAATTACAAGGAAACTATAGACTTCATATCGGAAGACTGTAATCAGTGTGCAAACCCTGTTATAAAAGAAAGTGAATCAGTAGAGAATTACAGTAATTTTTGTATGTAATGAAGCTAGGTGAATGTTGAGAGGTGGTGGAGGTGGCCAGTCTTGGTTACCTGTAAATGTGTCAGGTTTGTGTTGTAATTCCAAGAGGAGCGGAGAATTATCATTATATTTTTGATCAAGGAAGATGGGTAGCCCCGATTTCTAAAGGAAAAAGATCTCTTCTCCGAAATTAAGGCACCTCCTTTGAAGGGCTTTTTATGAAAGGCTTAAAACACTCTCCGGTAGGAAATCTGAATTTATGCATAATAACATTAATAAATTTTGAAATCACAGGTTATCAATGATTTGTAGCATATTAAACTAGATGTGTTTAGGTCGATGCACGATTCGAGAACGGTAACCCTGTGCCATGTTACTACACCAGCTCCAAAACCTAATGGTTGCACGAACCTTCCTTAGTTACAGTAAACCAACGTTAAAAATTTGAAGCCAACTGGATCAAGCATTCTCTAGTTATCAACGAGAGTTTGAAGGATGGAGATAAACCACTGGAAACCACTTAAAGGTACACATTCAGGGATACTCAAAGATAAGAGGAATCAAAGAGCAATAATTTGAAACCTTAATATTACCTGAAAGTAGCAAATGAAAATATGGTATAACCTTTTCAACGATCTGAAATCTGCAATCGATATATTCATCACTACGATGAATGGGCGCCGCCCAATAAACTTGTTTCTCCGGGAAAACTTAAATCTAGTCCTTGATCAAGAGGACCACATCATATGACCACATCATGACTATGGCATCCCGAATCATGTTATCGAAGAGAATGGTATCTTATAGACATGTTTTGGCTGAAAACTTCTAAAATTCTTAGCGCCTCGTATAACCTTTCCGAAAGAAAGGAAAATAAACTGGTTTAAGGCGTGACCTGTTAAGGCAGGGTTCCCTTTCTGCCGCCGTTGTGTTCAGCTCTGGTACGGGTATATATACCTGGTCCCAGGCACTCCACACACATCCTCAGCTGGTATTCACATCGATAACATGAAGCTCGTGAGTACTGGCTGTGACACAGCCTAAAAAAAAAAAATACCCATTTGAACCACAATTTTCTAATATTTTTAGACAAAAAAATAATGTGATCTTCAAACACCCCAAGCTCGTCTACTTTTAAATACAATCATTACAAGATGAAATGAGAACTAAAACATAAATATGAGCTATAAACTGACCGTAATCACACACATACAAAATCACAAACATAAAATAAAGACTGATCATGTGCTGGTACAGTCGATTGTCTCTTCTAGACAGCATTTTTAACTTTCACATTGAAAGAATCTTAGAGGTGTGTCAATAAATCACAGCATTTCATGGTAGAGTAATGTTTGCATTACAAAAATTTTTACTGTACTACATATAATGTAAATTATCTACTTAAATTACCCCATTGTTGAAGAAAAATGGTAAGTACACTAATTAAATCTACCCTGGTCCTTTAGTTATAAAGTTAACAAGAGAACTATCATGTTGCAGAGTTCACTCCCATAGGTAATTCCCCCAGACTCAGCATTACCATTATTTTCACGCTGACTCAGGCACTAGTCATCTGCTTGGTCGCCCTGGCTACAGCTGCTCCTCAGCATCAAGATAAAGACGCCCAGATCGTCTTGGAAGAGAGAAGCGACTCCGCAGACGGAAATTTCTATTACCAGTTTGAAACCAGCAACGGAATCTCTGAACAGAGGAGGGGCACTCCAGGCTCTGAGGGTCAGAGCAACATGGACGGAGCCTTCAGGTAAGAAACATTTTTTTTATTACTAAAATATCTGTCGAACCTGTTATACTATACATACAAAAGCAGTCCTTCGTAAAAACATTATAACAAGATTGAAGAGAACTATATATTTTAACCTACCACTGAGGCCCTCTCAGTCTACTGAAGTGTTCCTCCGAGTAGGACGATGTAGAGAGCGTTCCTTTAAGTTTCTAGCCTATTAATTAGGTTTGGTTTGGCACATGTGTTTGCGGAATGAAGAATATTTTGTAGCAAA